TGGGATAAGGTCCTAGGAAAGCATGCCCTGGGGACAATCCTGAAGAATCTTTGGCTGGAACATGAAGGTGCGTTGTAAATTTTCTCCCTTGTTGCTCTAGTCTGTAGGCCAGAATAAGAATATTGAGTAGCAAGGACATTCTCCTTTGCTGAGTCCAGGGAGTCAATGCTGACCCCCATCACTTACTCATATGGAATTATGAGAACTAGAAGAATATTTTTTCAGGAAAGAAATGAACAAGGATTGATTGGATCCTAACAAGAGCCTGTGAGGGGTCCCTCAAAGCTGCAAATATGCTCAAAGCCACATGTTGTTTACTCACCACTGTAATATGTTTCATGATGCAATTTCTTTTAAATTAAGTTTTTATTCAAAATTAAACAACTACAACAACAAGAACATACGCACACAAACAGCCAAAACAAGCAATAAGACACCCACAGACAATAAGACACCCTTCCCCTTTCCTCCTCACTCTTAAAAAGCAAAGAGACTTCCTGCCTATCCTCTAATTGATTTCCTAAATAATAACATAATTTCTGCCTCTTTATTTTTCTATTTTCCTCTTCTAATTATTTACCATAATATCAATAATATCAAACCACATTCCTTTCATTAACACATCTATACACGCAAGGGGAAAAAAAGTTTTAAAAAAGAATAGGAGGAGGGCAAGGGATGTAATTACCTAGCTATCAAATTCAATAACACTAATATCTCCTTTTAGTTGTTTAACATGTTCTATAAATGGTTTCCAGTTTTCTATAAAAACCTCTATTTGTTTTCTTCTCACCGAATTAGTTTCTCTAACTGAGCCATTCCCATTACTTTTTCAAACCAATCCATACATGTTGGAATTCCTTACAAGAACAAATCTTGCTGCCATTACTAAACAGCTTATCAGGTTTTTGTACTTCATTTCCTTTTTATCCTCTTAAGTTTATCATAATTAGTAAATATAATTCTGATCTCATGCCAATTGTGAATCCCATTTTTTTCTATTCTCTTATTAATGTTAGGCCAGTATTTCTTCACTCTTTTACACTTCCACCATTAATGGGGAGGGGAGTTTCATAATACAATTTTAATGATTTCAGTGATGTGCCACTTAATGTTTTGATAATAAAATATGGGAAAGAGCCTTCATACATATGTTAGGGCCTATGTACCAAGCCATGATGCAAGAGGGATCATTTGAAGTGAGAAATCTGAAAAGGTGTGGCTTGTATACAAGTAGCCTTTGGGGTCTGTATATTTGTAATACTAGGCATGAGTAAAGAGAGGCATCATTTCAGAAATAAGACTGCTGCAGTAGCAGACTCATTTTACATACAACCTTCTTTTAAGACTGGACAATCTAAAAGCCTTCTGGCTTAGAATAAAAACTATATTTTCACAGTGCCAAATGATTGGTCTTAGGCCAGTCAGGAAACTACTACTTTGCTCCTCTCAAACTTTAACTTAACTATTGGCTGATCATGCAAGGTATATGAAGGTGTTGAGGAAAATATAAGTTTGTAGTCTTCTTGTTGCATTTAGAAACAGCTTTTGAAAGCCTGTGCTAGGAAATTGTAATTATTTCCTTTTCCCAATTACAAATTATATTATGATTCCTTTTTTGATGTTAACTTTTAAACTGCTGTTGTTGTTAACTGCCCTCGAGTCAACCTTGACTTATGGCAACCCTGTGGATAAAACATCTCCAAGACTCCCTGTCTTCTACTGCTCTGCTTAAGTTTTACAGACTCATGCCCATGACCACCCAAATTGAATCTAGCCATCTGGTGTGCAATTTTTCTTCTACACACAAACTTTCCTAGCATTATTGTCTTATCTAATGAGTCATGCCTTTTCACGATGGGACAAAGTATGACAGGCTCAATTTGATCATCTTGGCTTCTAGGGGTATTTCAGGCTCGATCTGTTCAAGGACCCATTTGTTTGTCTTTTTTGTTGCCTATGGCGTCCTTAGCACTCTTCTCCAGCACCACATCTTAAATGAGTTGATTTTCTTTTTATCCACTTTTTTCACTGTTGAGCTCTCACATCTGTACACAGTGATAGGGGAAACCATGGCTTGGATTATTCTAACTTTAGTTCTCAGTTGTATATCTTTACCCTTTAGGATCTTCTCTGGCTCTTTCATGGCTACCCTTCCCATTCCTAGTCATCTTCTTCTCTCTTGACTGCAGTCTCTGTTCTGAACAATGTTTGATCCAAGATACTAGAAATCTTTAATTATTTTAATTTCCTCATTGTCTAATTTGAATTCATGTAGGTCCTTCATGACTATTATTTTTGTTTTCTTTATGTTCATCAGCAAGTCTGCCTTTGCCCTTTCTTCCTTAAACTTCCTTACTAATTGTACTAAAGTCATAATGTTTTCCACTAGTAATATTTTAGATTGTTAATGTTCCTTCCTCCTGTTTTCACTCTTCCTTCTTCTAAGGAGATTATTGCACTACAATTTACTCATGGGATAGACGCACGAGATTTAACAGTCAAAAACAGATTTATCACACTGCCCCGTAGCTGGGCAGTATGCAATCCGTGCTTCTCCAGGCTTCTCGTGCAGTTTTCC